GAATGTGGGGCGACTCAAGTCAATAAGTTCTGGGATTCAGGAAAAGAACCGATTACGCTCCGGGTTCTTATTCAGAGCATACAGAGAGACAAAAGAAAGCAAGTGTTCGTCAGCCTCCAAATGCACTTGCACAAAACGGCCCTCCTCATCCCTAATGACCTTATTGACCTTATGGGTATCCCTTACAAGAATGGCAGTGCGACCAGATTCATTGGAAACCGAAGAGGATACCACCTTATAACCTGTATTGCAGAACCACTTCCTTATGGACTCGTGCGATGAGGCATGCGTCTCCTGAAGACACACAAAGTCAACCCTCATGCACTTAAGCCAGTCCACAAGTGCAGTTCTTTTCAAGCGGTCACTTAGACCATTAACATTCAACGATAAGAGATTGAATGTTAATGGTCTAAAGAAGAGGAACCCTCTTCCGTCACAACTGCATTGTCAAGTGCCTGCCACAAGGTGGCAGCATCTTCCAGACTGTGTGGATTGGTGGCAGCATCCTGAAGGAGATGTTCAGTAAAATCAGCGGCTTGAAGTCGTACTTGCCACTGACGAAGATTCTACATCGGACTCACTGTGACCTTATTCGTATTCAAAAAACATATCATCGTCTGTAAGGGGTCTGCAGTTCGAGTTGGCCTCTTCCAGTGTCACCTCCTCTGGTAAAGGAATGTCCTGAGGGGGACGCACGTCACATTGTGGGTCATTAGGACTCACAGGATCCTCAGTGGATTCTGCTACAAAATTTCTGTGAATGTCAGCACCAGACACTGAAAATGAGACAGTCGGCAATTCTGTCACAGGCGCAGACTGGGCCTCCATCTCCTCAACTTCTAGGGGTGGAATAGGATCGATCACCATGGATCTCTCAAGACAATCCTCTGTGATATTAGTTTGGCCTAAAGAAGCAAAATCAGCATTGTTCTTACTAGGCCCCTCTGCCTCATGTCCCGATTCTTTTGGGGACTTTTCACAATGCTGAACACGCTTTGAACGAGGCTTTGGGGTAACTGACATCTCTGCCAAACTACCATCACTCTCCTCACTGCTAGAGGAGACATGCCTAGATTTCCCCTGTTTACGGGCAGCAGCAGCCGGGTTGGAAACAACAACTTCCAACTGTTTGCCGGCCTTTTCCGTGATTTTACGACTAAAGTCAGTCACCATTGAAGACGATGACGGAGCTGTCTTTGGCAGTTGAACGGACAAATCTAGGTCAAAGGCCTGGGGCCAAGGGAGTAGCGTTGCGACAGGCGATCAACTTATCCCGTAAATCACGCTGTGATGTCTCAAACGCAACTTTGACCTCTTTTAACACTGGTGTGCCAGGAGGTTGCACCTTCCGAGCTTCCTCTGAAGCTCTAGCCCTATTTAATTTGTCCCTCAGGTCAGCAGGTGGCTTTGAGGAAGCAGGGTGACTCCTGTGATGTTGAAGGAGGCACATCACGTTGCTGTGAGGGTTTGTTTTTATTACTATTGTGGACAGGTTGCTTACGTGCAGCCTTTTTCGATTTGGGGCACTCATTTGCCGTATGCCCCACCTCCTGGCATACGTAACAAGTTGGAAGTTGACCCCTATATCTAAAGGCCAGAGTAAATCCAGCAACCTTTAATTCCGCAGGTATAGATGTATTTACCAAGATTGACACCATTCAAGTGCTGGTTTTGATGGTCTGAAAACCACGCACCGTCAGATGTTGGACGGAAATCACTCGACCATATGGCGCCAATGCCTCAAAAAGATAATTGTCCCCCATTTGAAGAGGAGCACGGTCAACAAAAACTGACTTGACCTCTTCGTAGGCGGGAAATGGCATTAGAGTTACCCCTCTAAACGACAAGGCCATTAATTTTATACCTGACGCGTATAGAGGGAGATTTGTATTGCATGCGAACCTTCTGGTTTGGCAAGATTTGAACTGCCGAAACCCTCTCCGCGCCAACGCCTTCACAATATCAGCCCTTAGCTGAGGAATTTTGCCCTTACCCACCAAACGTTTGGGCACATGGAACACAGATGTTGTGGTGTTCCACTCGGCAAAATCGTTTTTGGTAAATGGGCGACTTGCCATAGTTATAAAATATATAAAAATGTGTGTTTATAAACAAAGATGTATTAGAAAAACTGTCAACAGGGATGTAACTGTGACACAAAACACACAGGAAAATCAGCTGTAAACCAAGTAAAACTGATTCAGGCAGTTCAACCCCTAAAGGCCACCACCGTTCACAGAATACGTGAAAAAACTAATAAAACCTACTAATACACCAAAGAAAGAACACCTGTGTACCTGTCTCAAAACAACAGACAAGCAAACAGTCGCAAATGCAAACAAACTCTCCCAACTGAAGAGCAAAAAACCTTGCACTTACAAATAAAACTACAATATTTACAAAAACAATGTGTCCTTTGCCAAATAAAAAGAACGAATGCCAGGGAACAGACTATATTGGTCCAAGGCCTCAAGTCTGCAACAAAAGCAAAGACAAAGAACAGCAAAAGGCAACCTTCCTTTGAATGATCCCCTAGTCAGACCACTCGACAGGAAAACAACCAGAAAACACACTAGTCACCACTACCTAATTATATACAAAAAACACTGGTACTGGCGGCCTTAAGCTGTGCTGGGTGCTAACCACCCAGTCCCACAGCCAGGAAAACTACTTGACCACGATCCAAAGAACGAGGCAAGCAGTCAAAAGAGAAAAAGAACTGGACTAGTTGCTACCTAAACACCCAACAAGTTAGGCTGGCCAGTCAACCGGAAGACAGAACAAAGACGAGGGCGTGTCTGCACAAAGAACTGCAGCTAGTAATTAACCTGTGAGCGAGTTATGGACCGTGTTCCAAGCATAGATCCTCACTCAGCAGGTGCGAAGAACCTGACGCAAGAAAGTACCTCGCGTCAGGTAAGTATGCTGCTTTTTCCGCCACTCACCTTATATACGCCATGATGATGAGATTGTGGTAGTTTGGGGGTTTCCCTCTTGTTTTGAACGTCATGTGCCGATCTGGAAAATGTAAAGGAGTGATCACATGATTTGCCTTGGGATTTGAGGAAGGTCTTCAGATGATCGTGTTTGCCCTCTTTGCATGCTACAGCTTCTTCAAGGGCCTCGGGACCGTTCTCGAAAGGGCAGCAGACGTCGATGATGGTGACATGTCAGTTGTTTTCAATGACAATGTCTGGTCGCACTGGAGAACCACTATCGGGAACAGTTTGGTCAGTGGAAACAGCCAGCATGGACAGCATTAGTTAGACGGTCTACAATCTTATTGTGGCAGGTAGTGATGGCAGGCATGTTGGATGGGCAATGGCAAAGCATGTGGGGGAGTGCCTCATCTTCTTCGCATTGGCGACAGGAAGAGGAACAATCTGACCAGCGACTTTTGATGGAGTTGGTTGGTAAGCAATTGAGGCGGGCACAATGGATAAATCTCCAGTCTTTGAATCTGATGTTGAGGCCGGTGAAGTGCCAGTTGGAGCCGTTGGCAAATTTGTCGGTGGTGAGGGCACGAGCGACTTTGCCTTGGTCTCGTAGTTCATGGAGGTTTTGGGCTGCATGTTCGTGTTCGACATTATGGAGGAAGCGATGCACATCCTTGGGGGCAACTTTATCAGTGTAGTTGGGAGCGCTGAGGGAGGGGGAACCATTGTCGGGGACATTGATGGTGACTTTGATGGTGTTAATAGCTTGTTAGGTACGAGTCCAAAGGGAGCCAGTGTGTGAGCGAATGGTTTCAAGGTTACGATCGGGGGTGTTAGACAGGACGTTTGGCACTAGGGAAGGGGTGGGGTCAGCTTGGGCAGCAAAACGGATGGTTTGGCAAAGTTCACGTTTGGCGATGGAGGATACGGTTGGGTCTTGCGAGGCAAGCATCTTGATGGCTTGTACAATGGTTTGCAGGTGATTTTCTTTTAGAGGATCAGCGAAGCCAAGACTGCCAGCTTGTTTTGCGGCAAAGATGTAGTGGGTTGAGGCTCAGGTTGGAAGGTGGCAAACGGATGGGATGGTGCCGATTAGTTGGGAGTGCTAGGACTGGAGGGATTTCATGGTAGGGTCTGTGGAGCGAAGGGTGTAGGTGAGGCTGGGTTGTATGATTGTTCTGATGGCATCAAGTTTCTGCCATGGGACAAGGAGGGACTTCTCTGTCTTTTCTAGTTTGACGGTAAGTTCATCTAGAAGTTGGTGGAGGGAGGTCACATGGGTATGCCAAGGTATCTGTAGTGATTTTCACGTTGGAGGTCAGGGATTGGTTCGCCTTGGACTAGGAGAGCATTAGATTGGATCCAGGGGCCATGCTTGTTCAAGGACAGGCTGGTGCACTTGTCAGGGCGGAATCTTAGGTGGAGGACGTCAGCAGCTGAGGAGACCACATTTAGGAGTGACTGCAGCGAAGCTTTGTTGCGAGCAAGGATGACAAGATCGTCAGCATACGTCAAGATCGAGACGGATTGTCCATGGTGTTGAAGTGAGCCACATGGTAGTTCTTGGGCTTGGGCATTGCACTTATGAAGGATGAGTTCCATGGAAAGGTTAAATAGAATGGCGCTGAGGGGGCATCCTTGTTTGACTCCAGAGTGAATAGGGATCGGTTGGGTTTTACCAAGGGGGTGACTACTTCTGTGGAAGCTCCAGTGTAGATGGGAAAGGGAAACCCATGTGGGAGAGGGTGGTGAGGAGGGCATCATGTGGGATGCTGCCAAAGGCATTTCGAACATCAAGGGTGAGGGTGGGCAAGGTTGTCTTCTGGCATCATTGACAATTGATTCTAAGAGAAAGTCATGCTCATAGCATCCTTCGCTAGGGTGGGCACTCTTTTGCTCGTTGGAGAGGAGGTCGTTTTGTATGGTGAAAGAGGTCATACGTTTGGAAAGTACGGCCATTAGTAGTTTATAAAGGCAAGACATCAAGGTGATGGGTCTGAAGTTGCTCGCATCTGATGTGTCCTCTTTTTTGTGGATTAGGATAGTGGTGGCAGATTTCCATGCTGCAGGGACATGCATTTCGCACTTGGGATCTAACAGACGAAGGATTTCGCACTTGGGATCTAACAGACGAAGATGGCAGTATTCTAATCGGTCTTGACCAGGGGCAGAGTTACAGATGGAGCGAAGTTTGGTGGCGAGTTCATCAGGAGAGGGTGCGTCAAACAAGGAGTTATTGGGTTCAGTCAAGGGGACAAAGGATGATAGTTCCTCCAGGAGTTGGGCAGGATTACAAGGGCGAGGACCAAAGGTTGCGGTGAAATGCATGGTGGCATCTTCGATAGTACCATCATAGCCTGGGCTGTCATCCCCAAAGATTTTGCGGCTGGCAAGTTTCTTAGACACTTGGTGCAGATGTTCTAGATGTTTGGCAGTGAGAGGGTCTGATGGAAGAGGACGGCGGTCAATACGGGGCAAGCAGAGGGATGGTCTGGTCTTTGTGGAGCAGGACGGGGGCGTTGCTGAGAGGAGAGGGTTTGTGCAAGGTCAACAGCTCCCGACGTGAACTGGCTGCTAAGACACTGGAAATCGTGGAAATCCATTTCCTCGCTAAACTAGAGATTGTACTGTTGGCGAAAAATCGTGTAGGGATGTGGAGGTTTGAGTGGTGGGAAAAGAGGCCGTAGTGGGATCTTCGATAAGTGGGTCTTCTGGGTCTGAGGTTGGGTTAGTTGGGGTAGGGCGAGGTGGAGGAAATCTCCGGTTCAGTGAGGTCTTCCATGGTAGGTGGTGGGAGATCAAAGAAATCGGCAGCTCTTGGGCGGGAAGGAGCATGTGGTATCGGTTGGCAGGTGGGGGGAACATCATTGGTTGGGGTAGTAGTGGTGGTGGACATCAGAGGAGGAATAGCAGGAGGTGCAATGGCTGGTGAGGAGGGTTGTCGAGTCTGGGGGACATCAAAAGTTGGTGTTGAAATGATGTTTGCCATGAGTGGGGGATAGCAGGAGATGAGGTTTTTAGATTGGAGGGTGATGCAAGTACTGTATTGCCACAGGCATTGACGAAGTGATGCATGAGCGCAGCGTTTGTTTCAGGAGGAGGGGAGAAACTCTGTGCAGAGGGAGCAAGGGGAGACATGGGGTTCTGCGTATCAAGAAGGGTTTGGCTCTCCACTGACTCGGGAGACTTGGGTGGGGGGTGGACAGTGGTCAGGATGATGGGGGAGAGGAGGACGTTGAGCAGTTATCAACAGTTGAAGGACTTGATGGAGTTGGGTCAGGGGAGTCGTGCCTGCGAGGTTTGGTGGTGGTTGGAGTGAGGGCTAGATGGTTGGAGCGATGCATTTTGCAAATGCTGCTGGACCTCATCACTTGTCATCACTTCAGTACAGACTGAGCAGGTGTAGGCTATCTGTAGGTTATAGCTGCTACCATGTCAGGAAAAGTGGGTTAAGAAACCTCAGGGAGACTTGTTTTGCCTTGAATGAGCATATTGGGCAATTGATTGTTTGTCGTCACAGGTGAAGGAAAAAGGGTACAGATACCTCAACAATCTCCTTTAGTTTGTGATTGTATCTTAATAGGTGGGTATGGCAGGTCTTCAAGTGAGCGAAGGTCTTGTCACATGTTCCGCAGCAGAGTTGCTCCTTACAAGGTCGATCGCCTGGGAGAGTTGGCAAATGAGCTAATGGAGAGCTCATTGTTAAAGAGAAGATGAGTACTTAAAGGGACTTGTAAAGAAAAGCTTAATTTAATTCATCAAAGGTAAAGTATACGAGTTAGTTCAAAAAACTTCTGGTGAAACCTGGGATAATAGTTGTGTTTTGAGAAAAAGTCCACAAAAAATATCAACAAGCTAGGGGGCAGCTCCTGACCACAACAAGTCAGTACTGCAAATTTTACTCAAACTCTGCAAGTACAGAGGAGACCTGGCTTGGCAAGTATTTTGCTTCGGTAAATGCGATAACTATAGTCTAGGCACAGATGTACTAGTCCGGGTCATGAATACTGCGAATTTATCTTTATGGGTCAAGGTAACATGTATAGTTTACTGCCACGCAGATAAATTTGACTTGGTGTAAGCCGAGGAGGTGCTGAGAAACAAAAATATTTTAGGATAGCTGGATTGAAAATAGCAGCGAGAATTTGGCCACAATCTAGGAATAAACTATCCTCAGCACAGGTAAGTTTATTAGTTTTATCTCAAGCCTTTCAGAGAAGAAAGGGAGACCTAGATCGGGAGTGAATATACCTCTTTGTCAAGTTTGTATAGCTTCGTGGGAAAAAACCTCGCGGTTCGAGGGAAAAACACGGCGCTACACAAGACAGGAAAGCAGTATAACACTATAAAGAATACTCAAACACAGGCCAGGGCCTGAGGAGTTTAAAGTTTGTGAGTAGCTTAGACACTCAGGCCACTACACAAGACAGCAAAGCGTTCCTAAAAAAAACGGCCGAGAGCAGCTAAATACGAGAGTGCCTGTAAAGTCACTGTTTAACCGCAGTTAAACAGAACCCGCTAGTACACAAACACTAAAACCTAAGAGACGCTATCAGCCTAAACTTTTAAAGAAACTTAGCGCGGACTTAACCTAGCAGCAATGCCAACCAAAAGAGAGAGTTTAGCAGAGTGTCTCTAAAAGGCCTCTCAACTGCGCAGACTCAGATGGCTGTTTGGCTGGTTGTTCGAATAAATTCGAACTGGAACAACTAATTGTTCCCCATTGCCAAAATATCACTTCAGTGAAAGCTAAGTGTCTCTAAAAGACCTAACTACACTTGATGTTATTTTGAGTTGAACGACAAGGGGCTAAACGACTCAGACGGTGCAATGGAGCCCAGACCCTGTGACCCTGCAACCCAGGGGGTTGCTACCCAGAAGGCAGACCAACAGAGAGTACGATCCTCTCCCCCGTGCCAGAAGACAGCCATGAATGGCCTGAACGATCAGATGTGAAGCATTGTCACACCCAGGGGTCCCTAAACCAATGATCGTGAATGGAGAAGATGACACTGAATGATGATGATAGCTACATGAACAACACCACTGGGAAGATCAGAAAAATTGAAAGAAACCTATGCAGCCCATTTGAAGAATGAACCATAGGACAAAAATTGAAAAGGAGACAGCAGTACACCAGTAAAGGATACCACTGGTCCTGAAGACAAACGAAATACAAGACAAAACGAAAAATGTGACGAAATAATTACAACAAATCCACAACGTAGTGACACACAAAACGAACAGCAAGCAAACAACACCTCGACAACAGGAGCCATGAGAAGAGCAATAACACACCAGCAAAAAACGTGTGTTATCCTGTTAAGAACAAGCAAACGAACGACAGTAAATCGGAGAAAAAACGATAGACAAGAGACAAACAGGCGACAGTTTGTAAAGCTGTCAAGAAAAACCACACAAAATCGAACACAGACAGACAACAATACAAAATGACAACAACACAGTCTTGACAGAGTGACGAACTGTACCAAATAACATGCCATAACCCAAATCCAGAAATAGAAGGTCAACCACCAATGGCGACCATTGTTCTATCAAAGGGAATACCTACCTATACTTTCCAATAACAATATCTAAATCAGGATCAGTTCTATCAAACCGCAGATGTCGCACAATTCCGAGCAGAGCAGAGTAGACCAAAGGAATTCTCCTTGCTGGGTCAAAACCAAACAGGATTTCAGTATCTGTCGGGTACTTGCACTGTGGAAGAAACCACTTTAGTGGAAGAAACCACTTTCGCAGACAAAGAAACCAATCCAAAACATCAATGGCCAATGAACACTCCATAAAGAGATGGACAAGAGACTCTGGACAGCCACAATAACAAACAGGATCAACTCGCTGTCCAAATCAAATCAAATGATTGGCTGTTGGCAGGATGCCATGGGCACCCAACCATACAGAGTCTTATACAGATCGGACAAACCCAGGACCAATTCACGTTGAAACCAAAGGAGGCAAATTTAGCACAACATCGGTGGATTGCAGGAGGGTTGAAAAGACGATATGCCACACGAGCAGTGAGCTGGTTCAAATCAATTGAAACATCCAGTGTAGTGGGAATGTGCCAAATGTTACGGTCAAATGTAGGAAGTAACTTGATCCACAAGATCCAAACTGACTTATAAAAGGGTGGTAACAATTTCAAGGATTGAGATGCTAAAGTTTTGGAAAGGAGAACTTCCAGAATGGAATTCTTATTGGGGAAAGCGTGATGGACAAAGAACTCCAGAAAGGAATGCCAACAATGGCAAGGACCAAGGAGATAGTGTTTGATTCATAAACAATGCAGAGACATGGTCTTCTTATCCACATCAACAGCCCCAAGACCACCATCTTTGATCGGTTGCATAACTGATGTGTGTGCAAGCCATTCACGTTTCTTCCCCCAAATATAGGGAAAACTGAGACCATTAATCTTGACAACCAGTGATTGTGGAATACTTTCAAAGGTGGCCAGATACCAAAATAGACTTAAACCAAGAGCACTAACGATCAACGTATGACCACGAAATGACAGACTGCATTGCTTCCATGAGATCAAAAGGTCCTCATATTTCTTCAATGGAACAGCCCAATTTTCTTTGCTATCATTACTGATACGGCTACCCAATGTGACAATAGCCTCATTAGTCCAATCCAGATCCACAGGAAACACAGATCTACCCCGCCATGAGCCAATTAACAAACCATGACACTTCCCCAGATTGAACTTTGCGCCAGATGTCTTCTCGTACCAAGTAAAGGTAGAAAACAGCTTTGTAGTAGAATGATCCGATGTAACGAGTGCCATAGTATCATCAGCATATTGACAGACTTTTTGTTGGGTTCCATCTGGTAAGGGGTACCAATCAATTTCAGGATCTTTCTGAATGGTGATAGCCAGAGCTTCGATGACCAAAACATAAAGTAATGGAGACAATGGGCATCCCTGCCGCACGCCGTGTGTGATGTTGAAATCAGTTGAAATGAAACCGTTAACAATAACTGAAGAACCAATATTAGTATAAAATAACCTGACCCACTGTTGGAAAGAGAGACCAAAACCCATAGCACCCAGGACTTTAGTCAGAAAAGACCATTCGACCCTGTCAAATGCTTTCTCCTGGTCCAGAGATAAAATTGCAGCAGAAACATCATCATTTGCGTGCAAAACAATATCTTTTAATAGACAAATATTCTCTGCTGAGAGGCGGCCAGGAATTCCACCCGTCTGGGAAGCTGAAACAACAGTGGAAACGACTGTTAAGGAGACGATTTGCAATCACTTTCGACGCGATCTTATAATCCGCACAAAGCAACATAATAGGTTGCCAGTTCTTGGTATTGTTACGATCCCCACGCTTGAACAGAAGGGTAATCAGACCTTTGTGCTGGGACATCGTGAGACAACCGAGATCATAACATTCATTAATCATGGCAGTAAAATCTTCCCCCAGGATGGACCAAAAATGCAAATAGAGCTCAGCAGGAAGACCATCTAACCCAGGTGACTTATTATGTGACATGTTTTTCAAAGCCTTGAAACACTCCTCCTGCAACATAGGTCCTTTGCACGATCGACATTCAGTTTTGTTAAGTCAGAACTGAATATTGGAGATGAAAAATTGTTGTTCGTGCTCATCCAATGATTTGGAGGTAAAAAGATCTTGATAATAGGAGTGAAAAACTTGAAGGATACCTTGCGACTTGGTAGCAAAGGAACCATCTGGACGAGAAATACTTGTGATGATACTGCGGCTACTATGAGTTTTCTCTTGACGAAAGAAAAAGGACGTAGAGCGTTTGCCATCTTCAGCCCATTGAATATGTGCCCGAACTTGGGCACCCTTTGCCTGTTTCAATAAATAGATTTCCAGTTCTAATTTTGCTTCCCGTAAAAAGGCTTCAACATCTTCACCATTTGCCAGGCGTCTGTTTAAATGAAAGACCGATGTCTGTAAGGATTTGATACGTGTCTTCGTATGGTGTGCCTGATCTTTGGAGAACTTACGAATCTGTTTTTTTTAGTTTGACTTTACCCGCATCCCACCATGCTCCAAAAGACGAATAACAATGCTTCTGTGAACGCCAATGTAACCAAAAAGAGTTTAGTTGTTCGCAAAAAGATGGATCAGTGAGATGTGATGTATTAAACTTCCAATAGCGTGGCCCGAGGTCAACAGTGGAAAGCATGGAAAACTCCATATAGACATAATGATGATCAGAACGGAAAAAGGAAGAATTTGAACCTTGCTAGCGAGATCAATCAATGATTGAGATACGAGAAACATATCCAAACGGGATGCTTGAGTACCATTCAGACGACGCCATGTATACTCCAATGTAGTGGGATGCTGTTTCCTCCAGATATCTGTTATCTCAAAAGTAGACAGCAGATTAACAAGAGACACAGGAGAATTATAGGTCCAATAAGAAGCAGGCTTGCAACCGAACCGATCAACACAAGGGGTCCAGGACAGTATTAAAGTCACCACATAGAATAATGGGGGTATCAGGCTGCAAGTCAGGGATAAGAGATTCAAAAAAAAGGAATGCCATCAGGTTTATTGTTTGAACCGTAGATATTACCAACTTGCAACAGAGATGAACCATTATTGAGAGTGATCATTACACACCGACCATCCGTATCTCGAGAAACAGATTCCAAAGAAAGTGAAGAATTAAATTATGTTGCAACTCCAGAGCTATGAGCTGTGCCAGGGGAAGAAACAACTCTGTACAAAATTGTTGTTAAACATCCATGATTCATGTCATCTATCCAACTAGCAAATCCTGCCTCGCCAATAGAATGAGTCTCTTGCAAGCAGACAATATCAGGACGGTGCTTATGACAAAAATAAAGAACAAATAAACCGGCAAATAAGACAAATCACTGATGAGAGGCCTCATGGTCAGGTTGAGACCCCGGAACAATAGCTGACGAGGAAGACAAAGTGGCAAGGTATGCCCGCTTATGGGCACCCTTATCCCTCTTCTTGGATGTAGACAAGGTTGGTTGGGTACGTCTGCGTAAAAACTGTTGAGGGATAACTTCATGTGTTTGTTTGGCAATGACGGTAGTTTTAGCTTTATAAGGATGGGAGGCACGAGAAGACTTGGAAGGTAAGGAAATAGTTGTGGAGGACTCTGAAATGGTGGGACTGGGTAGATGGGAACTATCTTTAACTAGCGGTGAATCAGGAAATAACAATGGGGATGGGCAGTCGGGTATCTTGCTTGGATTGACCGGGGAGGGAGACGAAGGGAGTTGGAGATGCCAAGAATCATCAAGCGTGTTAGCTGTAAGTGGATCAGAATCCATAACACAGCCAGGAAGAATGGTTGGTGTCGCAGGAACAATTGGAATAGAGTCGGGGCCAGCAGGAACATCAGCGGGTGCTGAAGGGGCAGATCGCTTATCAGGATGGACCGAGGTCTCATTCGCAGAGGAGGACGTCAGACTGACTTGAGGAGGATCCACTCTGGGACATTGGGATTTGTGAGTATCCATTCTGAGATAAACTGTTAATAAGTCACTTCGGATCACTACCTATGACTTTCGACTTTTTCAGGGGCTGCTCCTCATCAGACTTCTCAGAGCTCACATGCACAGGAACATCATCGAGTTGTTGAACAACAATTGTATATGAAAGAATGGCGTTGAGGGAAGATGACGGATTAGCAGGGGTGACAGGATGTGGACTGGTACCTTCAGCCACTGTGGTGGAAGCGAACCGAGATGCAGGGCACAATGAAGGGACATGTACTGGAGTTTCCACAGGAAGAGATGTCACAGGAGGAATAGTGATACTTGGCGAAGGTACCGACAACAACCTTAACGGTAGGCTGAACAGCCGGGGTGAACGCCGAAGATGTAGGAACGGACTTAAACATCGACATCAGTAGGATTGGCAAGATGAATTACAAAGGATCAGTTGCTAAGTTGCATGTTTTTAAAAGATCATCTCATATAATCCTTCAATTGCTTTTCAAAAGCATCAATTAAACCACTCAAAGTAGGTGCAAGCGTTAATGCCTCAATGGGCAAAGTACCTACGATCGCATTAGATGCTTGATATATAGGCATCCTAACAATATTGTGGACAGAAATCCATGCACACAGCAAACTTGACAAACAAAATAAATAAAACAATTGTACCTCGAGAATAGGTGACCGGAAATCAAATAATGAGAAATCACCTCGAACTGTAAAGGTCCTCGAACTGTAAAGATTTATTCAAGCCAAAACTGTTATTTATAATTTCTAGGTAGTTGCATTTAAAGTATACTATTAAAACACCTGGTTCATCTAGTTAATAATTCATTAAGTTCATCTATTTAATAATTAACGGAAATGTTCAGACATTCATAGTTCATTATTAAAGTTCTTTCCTATTAAGTTTCAAATCTCTGGAGTATTAACTATATATATATCAAAAGGAGTATATATACAAATAGTACATGCATCAGACATATAAAGGACGCAAAGAAGGAGTTTGTTTTACAGGCAAGTTGGTATATATATATATATATATGAGTAGGTTTGTGTATACGAAACGCAAAGAGTGCTCAATATCATAAAGATAGAGCAAATGTAGAACTTCGCTTACCTCAAAATTCCGCAACAGTCTGTTTCATCGGTAAAGTTTTCCATCATTTTACTCAATAAAAGAATGGAAATTATATCTACGTGCAGACATAGGAAGAAATTTCGCGTAAACAACGCAAACAATACACTCCCACAATTCGATTAGGCATTTCCGCGTAAACAACGCAAACAATAGATGAATGCATGTTTTGTTTCACCCACACACCCCCACGTTCCGGCCAAAACACATATAAGCAGCCCTATTTTTCGAAACTTGTCATACCGCCTGATGATTTTTACTGATGAAACAGACTGTTGCAGAAATTTGAGGTAAGCGAAATTCTATATATATATCTATATATCTATCTATACCTATATATCTATATATCTATCTATCTATCTATCTATATATATCTATCTATATATCTATCTATATATCTATCTATATATCTATAATTATATATAAATATATAACGTTCCATATACTAAAGTTCTATTGAAAGTCATTCATGTGGCTATAATAAATTTCTGCTGAAACTCTGATGACGTCAGAACAGCATAATTTTCGGAAGAGTGATTTGTAGGTCTTCGACATACGCAATTGATTGAACACAGCTTCATTGTTTGGATGCCAGGTACCTAACGCGCCAATCACAAATGCAAAAAGGTCACATTTAACACCAAGTTGATGGAAGTGCTCCTTGAGGTGGTCATATTTGATTAGCTTGTTGTAATCAGCTGTGGCCAACGCATCATCACCATTCTCAAAGGGACAAGTAACGTCAATGATGGTAACTTCACATCCTTCATCAATGAGAATGTCAGGACAACACTCGTCATCAACACCAGGAACCTGTTGATTGACACGTACGCAGCCGTAGCGGACAGCTTTCTTGAGGCGTTCAACCACAGTGTTGTGACGCTCATGAATCTGAACCAGGTGGGTGTTGCAATGACAGATGATGTGGGGTAAGGTTTCATGGTGGGAATTACAAACACGGCAGAGGGTAGAGCAATCGGACCAACAGGATTTGTTTTGGTTAGTTGGTACAATGTTCAATCTTGCACAATGAATGAATCGCCAGTCCTTCAACCTCAAATTTAGACCGTTGAATAACCAGGAGGAACCTGAATAATCAGGGAGGGCCATCAGCTTAGCAGAAGCACGATCTTGGGCGAGGCGATGAAGGAATGTAGAGGATGTTCTCGCAAGGTAACGGACCTTTGGTGTCAGTAGAGATGGAAGGTGCTTTGTTATCGGGAACATTGAAAGAAATTCCGAGGCGTGAATCAGCTTGCACAGCAAATCTAACAGCGCTACTCAGCTCACCTTTTGCAAAGGGATCAGTGGATGACAACATTTTGATTGCTTGCACGACTGTTTGAATGTCAACTTCCATTAATAAATTTGGAAACCAAGACTGCCCAGTTTTGATGAAGCAAAGATGATGTGGGAAGTGGTTCTGAGGGGCAGGTTACATATGGCACGAACAACTTCAACTAGTTTCTTTCTGTATTTGGCCACGGACACTTTCCGCGGCTCTCCAGTGCATAATGCAAAGGTTAAACATGGCTGAATGAAAGTTCGTATTGCATCCAGCATCTGCCACGGAGCCAACAGAGATGATTCTATTCTCTCCAGGTCACTATAGAGATCATCAACAAGGGATTCAAGACACTCAACATTGTGAATAATGCCAATAGGAACACTTAGATATCGGTAGTGTTCATGCTCTTTCAAAACAGGTAAATCTTTGTCTTGGACACAGAATTTGATCAATTGAATGTTATACTGAAATTTTTTGTCGTAGGTCATATTGAGGGAAGCACATTTGTCTGGACGGAATTCTAGACCTATTAAGTTAGCAGAAGAGGATGCTGCATCTAGAAGTTGTTGGAGTTTTTCCTTGCTCTTAGCTATTAGGACTAAATCATCAGCGTATGCAAAAACCGAAATCTCACCATTGAAATGTTTAGCTGGACCGATATGTCCTGTTGTAGAGATAGCACAAATGATAATTTCAATGCATAAGTTAAACAATATGGGAGATAGAGGACAGCCCTGCTTAACACCCGTGTTGATGGCAATACCGGGAGTAATTCCAGCTGGGGGTACAAACTTTGGTGTTGGCATTTGTGTAGATATTCTTTACAAGATTAACCACAGAGTCAGGAACACCAAGGTGGGATAAGGTGATTGTGATGACATCATGTGGGACACTACCAAAAGCGTTACGGAGATCTAACCAAGAGAGAGGAAAAGGTTTTTCTGGTGTCGTTTAGCATCAAGGACAAGGGACTGCAAGACGAATGTATGCTCATAACAACCTTCCGAGGGTCTGACACTTTTCTGAGAGGTGGAGAGGAAGGAAGTTGTTATCGATGGAGTAATTTACCAGACGATCAGCGTGACACTCATGAACAACTTGTATATGCAGCTGATAAGTGAATGGGATGGAAGTTGGATACATCACTAGCATCATTTTTTTTGTGAATGAGTACTGTTTGAGATGTTTTCCACTGCGCAGGGACTTCATTCTCAAGAAGACATCGATTATAGATGTTACATAAGATCGATCCTTTCGGGTCAATAGACTTCAGGTGACAGTATTCAACCCTATCAGCACCAGGTGCAGAGTTCAACAAGGAACATAGTTTCTTGGATACTTTATCCGATGTAATTGGATTGCCCAAAGTGTCAAATCCTTTCTTCACCGCATTCACATCAACATTTTTCTCACCAAATACTTGAGTGAAAAAGTGATTAGCCTCATCCACTGAGCCAGAGTAAGAAGGCTTATTATCACAGATCACTTGCCTTGCAGCCCGCTTCTTGGAAATCCTATATAAACTTTGGACCCTTCTAGCTTTGAAAGGATTATAATGCAATGTCCTATGGTTGTTGTTGACCGGTCTTGCAGAAGGACGAGCAGGGCGGTGAGGGACAGCTTTTTTCTTACTCTGAAAAAGTGGAAGTGGAGAAAACTTCCATGGGCACGACGGACAAACACGACATACAAAAGAAACTGAAAAAGGCTTTCCATTTAGCAGGTGTAGGAGCAAAGTAACATTTCACCCACTGAATGGGAAAAGCCTTTGCCTTCAGGTCAAAGTCGATGAGCCCGAAGCCCCCTTGACCCTTGGGAAAACAAATGGTATGACGGGCAACCAATTTGCGGCGACCCGACCAGAAAAAATCCCAGGTGGCCTTGACAATACGCTTCTTGGCCCACTCCGGAATGGGAAAGACATGGCACAAGTGCCAGATTTGGGACTGGACCAAGGTGTTGATGACCATTGCCTTACCATGAAAAGTAAGCTGACACCCCTTCCAGGACGACAAGCGCTTCTCTACCTTAGCGACAGGAGCCTCCCAAGTGGCCGCAGAGTAGTCGCCAGCACTGATGGTGGCACAAAGCAAAGACAACTCCTTCACCCACTGAATACCAAAAGGGGTGTCCACACGATTTTTCCAGGCACCTAACACCAAACCCTTTGACTTGCCGCGATTCAACTTGGCCCGAGAAGCCCATTCATACTGGGCATAGATGTCAAAGGTGGCCTGCATCGAAGTGTCCATGGTAGCTGCAATGGATGTATCACCGGCATTCCCTGAGATAGATAGATAGATACTTTATTGCGTGTTCCCCTAAGGGCTTTTCAACACTACATTACATATTAAAATTACTATAAATTACTTCTAAAACTACCTATGTTACATATACTTATTTAAAATTAGTTAAAATATGTACAAAGAGTATGAAATATTAAATGTATTTAATAGGATTATTTTAGTAAAGTCTCTCTAAGTTCTTTCTTAAAAATTGTTATTGATGTAATATTTTTTTAGTTTATCATCCAAGTCATTCCATATTTTAGCACCCCGATAATTGAATGTTCTTTGACCTGTAGCAGTTTTATACTGAGGAATGTCCAAGAGGTGATGATTTCTTGATCGATCGATCGTGTATGTTGGAGCGCTTTATAAATTTATCTACTAGGTAGTCAGGTGCAAGTCTATTAAAACACTTGTAAGCCATTACAGTTTCCCTTTCCAATAATAACTTTTCCACTGGCAACCAATTTAGTTCGCGCAACGCTGGAGTTATGTGATCGAACTTTCCTACCCCTGATATAACTCTGCACACGAAGTTCTGCACTGATTGAAGTTTATTGATATTGTTAGATGATGTGTTGGACCACACCGTAGAGCAGTACAGAAGCTTGCTAATTACAAGTGTCTCAATGACCAATTTTAATGTTTCATTATCGAAACTATCCTTCACACGATTTATTTGACATAGTTTTCTCATACACGACGAAACAAGTTTAGATATGTGGTCGTCGTAGGATAGGTACGGATCCAAATTGATTCCCAAATCCTTAGCTAATAAAACAGGTCGTATAGTCTTTCCTAAAAATGTTAGCGACATTTCTGTAGGTACGTTCTGTAGCATGGGTCTTGAACCGACCACAAGGAATTTAATTTTTTCTGGATTGATCAGTAATTGGTGCTCCAAACACCACTTGGCTGCTATTTGTAGGGCTGCTTCTAAATTGATAGTTGTCTGTTCCAAGTTGTAGATGCAGAATGATTTGTAAAGCTTTGAGTTGTCTACGTATGAATCAAGATTACACGATTGTATGCTCCCTGGCAGATCGTTTATATAGATGCAAAACAGAAGTGGTGATAGTATTGCACCTTGTGGAACGCCATGGGTTATCGGGCGAGCTGATGACTTGGTGGATCCAATGCACACATATTGGGATCTACCTGTCAAATAGTCTTGGAACCATTTAACAGCTTCGGGTGAAGCACCAATACAACTCAATTTGTGTAATAAAATCGAATGACTGACACTGTCAAAGGCCTTGGATAAATCCAATAAAATTAGTGCCGTTAGATTTTTGTTGTCTATGGCTTCCAACATGGTATCGGTAACAAATATGTTTAAGGTTTCTGTAGAGTGAAGACTCCTATTCCCGTTTTGATGTGACGATATGCGATTAAATTCTTTGAGGTAGGAGCTAGATTGATTTAGAACAACTTTTTCACAAACTTTTGAAACTACCTCGAGTAGTGAGAGGCCAATTGTTTGTGGCTATCTTGTGGTCTTCTTTTAGTAGGGGTATAACTAAAGAAATCTTCCATAGGTCAGGGAATGTGCTTGTCATTAGAGAGCAATTTATCATATGCGTAAGAGGACCCAGTATGATTGGAAGACAGTCTTTGATAACATACATGCCTATTTTATCTGGTCCTGGTGACTTATTACTTGGCATAGCCATGATAATACGTTGAACCTCTGTACAAGTAACGGATTGGAAATTGAACAGTTGATCAGATGGATAAGTGATTACATTTGACAGAGGATTTGACACTACAACATTGTTGTCATTGGCTAAACATTCGGCTGTCGCAGCAGCGTTCCGTCCCACAGAAGTAAAAAAAGGTTGAAATCTTCTCCAACAGTTTTTGGATCTTTACTATAAACTTGTGTTTCCTTTTCCTTCGAGGGAATTATGTTATTAATTATTTTCCATAGGGATCTCGAATTGTGTTTATATTCTCTTACTTAGTTAAAGGTGTGGTCCTTCGCTGCGGCTTTAATTTTGGTTATTACGATATTCTTTGTAAACTACCCAAGCACCTTCATCATGTGCCACAGTTGAAACCGACGGAGGTGTAGATCCCGAGACTTCATGAGTTCTTTTATTTCATTGGTGACATATGGACATGGTCGATTTCAAATTTTGAAGGTTTTTAACGGTGCATGCACATTGAGAGTTGAGTGAAGAACATCTTTGAAGGTTTCGAGTATCGTATTAACATTGGTGTTGGATATTATGGATAACAGATGATCCGATTTAGTGACAAGGTCAGAGGAAAATAGTGAGGGATTATAGTTTTTATAACTCCTAGTTGTAATATAACATGCTGGCATCTTTGGGGCCTTTAACTTTAGTAGGACATACACTGGTAAGTGGTCACTGATAGAAGTGTTAATAATGCCACTCTCAAGAACAAGTGCTGTGGATGAGACTAGAATAACATCAATAAGTGTTTGGGACGTCGCCGTGATTCTAGTTAGAGTTTTAATAATTTGTGTGAGATTTAATTCTGTAGAAAAGTTTGTTAGCGCTCTCCGTTCTTGGCCGTTTTCTAGCATGTTGCAGTTTAAGTCACCGA